ATAGAGGCTGTACATTGGTTTGACCTAAAAAGGCAAGACATCTCAAAGTGAGGGAGAGAGGAACAAGCCATAGGTAGATTCAAAGATTTTTTGATTTGTGGTTGGTTAAGGAGATGAAGTTTTGTCTAAACATTTGGGAGCAGCAGTAAAGAATTAGCTCTGGCTCAAGGGCATGACCTCCTCCAAGCCCCTCAGGAAGAAATTTAGAAGAAAGAACAGAGGTCAGAGTTCAGTCCTTAGTCCCCCCATATCTGAGGTGGACACACCAGCAGATCCGCTTGGTAAGGGTCCAGGATTCTGAGAAACAACTCAGGGACATATGTTGAGATGTCATCTTTAGTTTTTACAGGGAACCCAACATGACTTTAACTTCCTTGGCTATTGCTTTAAACTACTGTTACCTTCTTGCTTACCAAGTCGCTCATTTACTTTTCAAGGCTAGCTAGGAGCCTGCAATTTTCCTGGAAGGAACTCAAGATATTTCTTTATTTAGGCCCCTAAGAGGGATCCTGGCTCGTCTCTGGAGAAGGAGGGGGAGAAAGAAGAGGGAGAGCGGACTGGGTGCAGTGGCTCGTGCCTGTAATTCCAGCACTTTGGGAGGCCAAGGTGGGTGGATTGCTTGAGGTTGGGAGTTTGAGATCAGCCTGGCCAACATGGTGAAACCCCGTCTCTACTAAAAATACAAAAATTAACCGGGCATAGTTAGTTAACCGGGGTGGGATTAACCTGTAATCCCAGCTACTCGGGAGGCTGAGGCAGGGGAATTGCTTGAACCAGGGAGGTGGAGGCTGCAGTGAGCCGAGACTGTGCTCCTATAGCCTGGGTGACAGAGACTCCATCCCCTCCCCCCAAGAAAAGTGAAAGAATAATAAAGTACAAAATGAATTGCAATCAAAACAGAATTTGATGCTATGCTAGCAACTTCTTTTACCCTGTCCCTTCCCCACACTCTTTGAGCATCTCCAGAGAAAGATCTCCTTTATAGAGTTCAGGTTCTTCCTAGGATAGAAGACTTGGAAAACAAGTTTACAAGTGGCTGGTGAGTGAACAGTAGAACTCTCAGACTCCCTGAGTTTCCAGCAGCAGAAATAAAACATAAATAAAATATTCCTCACCCAGAGGATTGCCCCTCGCAGTTGGGTTTGAGGCTGCTAGAAGAGGGCTGTAGCCAGAGCCCAGGAGCTTTTAGAGAGAGCTGCCCAAGAAGTCACCGAGGCCCCTGTTTCCAGGCAACACTGAGGAATTCTGCACTCCTCTGGGCTGCTTGAGTTTCTTGCATTGCAAGAAACTTATGTCAAGATGTTAACCCTCTTTGGTTTGGAGAGAAAGCCCAAATAGTAATCATCTTTCATTTTAGCACCAGGGAGCCTTTTCTGGGGTCCTGAAGAGGAACTCAGAGCCAGGAGAGGGGCCCTTGGAGGTGGGTAGGACAGGGAGGGTCCTGCCCAGCACTAGACTCTCTCCTCCTGAAAACATGGAGAAATGGGCCTGGTAGTGTCCCAACTCCAGAGAGGCTCTTGGTTCCTTTGTTGACCCTCCCAAGTGACTTGTTGCTCCTACTTTCCTACCTTCTTTGTCTTTTGTTCATTCATTCCTTCCTTCAGCACAGATAGACCCAGCCTCCCATACGATAACATTAAACCCCAGAGCACTGCAGGAATACAGAATGAATACATGTAGCCTTGTTCCTTTTTTACATGGAGAGCTAGGGACAGGGTGGGGACTGGCTCTTGAAGTTCCGTGAAGACGGAAGAGGCACTGTGGAGCATTTAATAGATGCAGCCACTCTTCTGCTTAAGTACGATTCCCCCAATTCACCTGACACCCTGTGGAATAGGGAGAGAAATAATGGGCAGGAAAGCAAGTTAAGTGGCCAGTCAGGGACACAACTACTGGCTTTGTGGCAACCAGATCCCAGCACTGCTGCATGGGGAGAGAGTCTCAGCTGACTGATGGGATCAGATCTTGAAACATTCATAGCCATAACACTGAAACTGTACCCTGGAGGGGTGAGTGAAGAGGGGAGGGGCTGGAGCGCCGAACAAACCTGGTCCCACAAATAAATCCAGCCCCAGGACATCACTTTCCTAGTGAGAAGCAGCAAGAACTCCTGCAAGGTTCTCAGAAGACCCTCTGGAAACAGTCAGTCATTGTTGGTGACCCTTATGGAGGCCTTAGGAAGGCCTCCTTAGCAGCCAGGCATGCTCTAAGCCCTTTATGCGGGGTAACTCCTTCAGTCACCCTAGCAATCCTAGAAAGTAGATGCTGTTACTATTTCCATTTTGCAAATGAGGAAAGGTTAAATGACTTGCCCAAGGGCACAGAACCCATAAGTGGCAGGGCTGGGATTTGAACCCAGCCTGGCTCTGGTCTCTGCTCCTAACTATAAGTCTGCTACAGCTGTTGTTACCTTTTTTGTCCCAGATTGGCCCCCTTGATCTTCATATGGGCCCCATTTCTTCCCCTTAAGTCCTTGGCACTTGCACCCCAAGGGACCCGAATACCAGGAGAGGCCTAAAGTCTGTGTTCCCTGGACCCCAGGACCCCAGGACCCCAGGCCTTGATGTGCCATTGTCATGGGGATGTTTGCTCCTTCTGATGTCTCCTTCTTAGCTCCTGGTTAGTTCTCTTGAAGCACCCCACTTTCTCATTTTGGCTTGCTGGGCAGGCTGAGTAAATGCCATCTGCCAAGGGGCCTGCAGCAAAACAAACCTCTGCAGCCCCAGAGGTCTTGTAGCTTCCATTTAGCAAGCAGCCCTCGCGCCTCTGTGGGCAGAACCCTTGGAGAGAGGGCTGCTATTCATCACTTGTTTGGCTGTGGGAGGCTCAGGAGCCTGTGTAAGGTGGGCTTTGCTGGGGAGAATGCTGGCTTCCTGGGAGCTGAGGGGGGTCCCTGGGAGGGGTTGGGGCCCAAGAGTGCTGCTGCTGGACTCCAGGCTGCTCAGGACCAACTTCTTTTCTCCATTCTGATGCAGAAGAGCAATGTGCTTGCTTGTTTGCTATTTATACTGCAGTTGCTGTCTAGGGGTTTTCTTTGAAGGGAATGAATAAGCTCTGAGGCTCTAAGTACGTTTCTGGCTCAGTGCTGTGCTGCGCACACCCCAATTCAGCTGATGTGAGGCCTGTCCTGATTCCCCGCTGCCTCCATGTCCTTCTGGCATCATAGCACTGCTCCTCCAGTGCCTCCGCCGCCCATAAGAACGCACTCCTAAGTACATTTACAATCTGGCTCCTGCCTCCTCCCCTGGCTAGTAAAACTTCGTTTCAGCCCCTTTAAGGATTAGGTTATACCCTTAGCCATTACCTTATTCTGTTGCTTTTAGCAAGATGTGACTCCCTACATTCAGGCATTCTTAATCCTCCTCACCCCACTTCCTATGTACCTCACCCCCAGGAAGGGGCTGAAATCACCTTTGCAGAATTGTAAGTCATGAGAGAAATCTAACATGACAGACTCCATCTTGCGCCCAACCTCACAGGCTAAATTGGTCTTTTGCTTATTCTAGTCTGGAGGCTAGTATAACTGTGAAAGGAATTTGGTTTACAGTTAAACTTTGAGGCTAGAAAAACTGTCCCTTCCTTGTTCCGAGATTGAAGTCACATTCATAAAACGTGATTAGAATAATGGTAAAGGTTCTAACTTCAATAAAGTATAATAACAAAAAAAAGAAAAAGAAACCCTAGCCTTGGAATTCTGGGGAAGACAGGTTTGAGAAGTTTCTCCCATTCTGCCTATGGCTAATGCCTATGGCTTAGCGTGTTTATCTAGAAGTTTTTTACTACCCCAGGGTCACAAGATAACTTCCCCAGCTTTCCATAGAGATAACATCACTATCGTGAAACCTAAAGAACTTCCCCATATATCTCTGAAACATTTTTGAGATGTTTTTCAGATTTGGCATTTTCGCAGACCAAGAGATTCCAACTGGTCTTGAGACCACCTCCCAGTACCTGACTCAACTGCACAAAGGCAATTGTAGACACTCCTGTGATATCCTCGGCCAATCAATTGTTTCAGTTCCCCAGACCCCTGGCTGCCAGAGTTCCCTTAAGAAACCCTAGCCTTGGATACTATGCAGCCATAAGAAAGGATGAATTCATGTTCTTTGCAAGGACATGGATGAAGCTGGAAACGATCATTCTCTGAAAACTGACACAAGAACAAAAAACCAAAACATCGCATGTTCTCACACATAAGTGGGTGTTGAACAATGAGAACACATGGACACAGGGAGGGGAACATCACACACTGGGGCCTGTTGGGGGGTGACGGGGGTAGGGGAGGCATAGCAGGGGGTGGGAGGTCGGGGAGGGGTAACATTAAGAGAAATACCTAATGTAGATGACTGGGGGATGGATGTAGCAAACCACCATTGCATGTGTATACCTGTGTAACAATCCTGCACAATTTGTACATGTACCCCATAACTTAAAGTATAATAACAAAAAAAAGAAAAAGAAACCCTAGCCTTGGAATTCTGGGGAAGACAGGTTTGAGAAGTTTCTCCCATTCTGCTTATCTGGCTGGCCCTGAGATTATTAAACTCTTTCTTTCTTTTTTTTGGAGACAGAATTTCACTTCTGTTGCCCAGGCTGGAGTGCAATGGCATGATCTAAGCTCACTGCAACCTCCACTTCCTGGATTCAAGCGATTCTCCTGCCTCAGCCTCCCAAGTAGCCGGGATTACAGGCATGCACCCCCACACTCAGCTAATTTTTTGTTTTTAGTAGAGACAAAGTTTCACCATGTTGGTCAGGCTGGTCTCAAACTGCTGACCTCAGGCGATCCACCCACCGCAGCCTCTCAAAATGCTGGGATGACAGATGTGAGCTATTGCGCCCAGCTTTATACTCTTTGCTGCAACAACCTGTTGTTCTCATTGTTTTTTTCAGGGCAGTGGGCAAGAAGAACCCATTAGGCTGTGACGGGCCATCGTTTCAGAAAGCAAATCCCTCTGGGCCTTCCTGTAGCCTGGTATCTAAACTACATGGTATTCTGTTTTTTCATTCAGGTTTATTAAAGGGCAATTTACACCAAGTAAAATACAATTCAAGATTTTTTACGGACACATCAGTTGTATAACCGCCACCACAATCAAGACACAGAACAATTCCATCACCCCAAAACATTCTCTCACACACGTTTCAAGTCAGCAACTTCCCCCATCCCCAGCTTCTCACAACCACCAATCTAATCTGTGGTGGTTTTATTTTTTCCCCTCTGTTTTTGCCTTTTCCAGAATGTTACATAAATGAAATCTGGAGTCTGGCTTCTTTCACTCAGAGAGATTCATCCGTGTTGTTGCAAGCAGCCGTAGTCCAGTGCTAGGCAGTAGTCTGAGGTATGGATGTACCACAGCTGATCACTTCATCAGTTGAAGAACATTAGAGTTGTTTCAAGTTTGGGGCAATGATGAATGAAGCTGCTATAAACATTCATGTAGAATTTTTATGTGAACATATGTTTTCATTTCTCCTGGTAAATACCTAGGAAGGGGATTTCTGAGTTGTAAGGTAAGTATATATTTAACTTTTTTTTTTTTAGTTACCAGATCTCAGGCAAGAGAAGTAAGTATATATTTAACTTTTAAGAAACTGCCAAACTGTTTTTCAAAGTGGCTGTATTATTTTGCATTTCCCAGCAATGTGTGACAGATCCAGTTATTTTGCATTCATACAATGTCAGGTACTGCCAGTTTCCCCATTCCAGTCCCCCTCCATTCTAAAGATGTGCTACATGGTACTTTGTGATCTATTTCTGTGCTTCTCTTTCTCAAGTGGCAGTCCTAGGAGGCAGGAAACAGGATTTGTTTATTTCTATATTGCCTACACAGTATATATCAGGGTAGGAGCTTAATATATCTTTAACACATATATGAATGAATAAATGAAGCTTTCTAGGGTGCTTGGCAGTTTCTAGAGGACACAGCTACTGATGCCTCATCCTTCTCACCTGGAAAAACACTGACGTCCAACCGGCTTCCCTTGGTCATGAGCAGTTCCTGATCCACCTCTGTCCTCCCCTTTCTTGAAGTCAGGCCACCCTCAGACTCTCCTATCTCGGTCCCTTCCCTTTGGATGTTGCCCGGTGCATTGGCCTCATTCCTCTGGAAATAAACTGAGTGCAGAGAGGACCTTCCCCTCTAGTACAGGTTATGGTCAGCAGATCCCCCAGGAAACAAGCTTCTGGAGAGATTTAAGGGCTGCACAAATAAGACAGGGAAAACAGTTGCGTCTTCATGGCAGACCACGAAAATCAAACCAAAGCTGAGAAGTTGGATGAGGCCATGTTGATAGCCTCAGGGCAGACGTAGAGAGAGGCAGCCTGATGACCCTGTCCACATAGCTACTGCGAGTCCTGCAAGTTGTCCCATATGTGGGTACTGAACTTCTTTAGGGAGATAAGCTGCTGACTGCAGAGTGTGAGCGCAAACCAGGAAGCCAAGTAAAATGACCTTCAGGAAAGGAACAGGTGGGAGGGAGCTCGTTGTGAGGAAGACAAACAGTAGCAGTGAGTGCGGGGAAACAAGGCTACAGGTGGGAAGGGATTGCCTCCGGAGTGGGTCTGGCTCTTATTACCCAACCACACTGCATCAGAAGTGAGCAACCTCTCAGGGCCTGAGGGCCTGAACACGGGATGCCTGGCCTACCTTCTCAGTAACATTGCATTTTTCAGCCCCTGCAGACTGGCTCTGCTGTGGCTTCAATTCAGAGGTACACATTCCAGGACAATGGAGGAGTCTCTTGATGTGGAAGATCAGCTCTTCAGTAGATTTAGACACCGAGGGGCTGAATGGAACTCTCTTGAAAGATCTTTTCAGGAAGGCTTGGAGACAAATAGAAGGATGACAGTTCTGGAGAAGGTAGAAATAGAAAACAAACAAGCAATGAATGACTGTCCAGAGTCAAAGGCATGCAGTTCTCATGTGAACCGGCAAGGGTCAGATGCCCCTCACACCCTGGAGAAACTGAGCAAAGAGAAAATAGAGGCTAAACCTTCAGAGGTGGGAAGGTTGTGAGAGTTCAGGGCATATTCCTGGCGGGGAGGACAGCTGAGCGGTGATGGTGTGACTGGGTAAAAGCTGGGTAAGAGGTGGTCAAGAAGAGAGTCTTAGAGATCATCTACTCCAAATTCCCTCTTTGTACAGGGGAGAGATCTGAGGCCTAGGGCGGGGAAGAGTTAGCCCACAGTTACATTGCTAGTGAGTAGTAGAGCTAAAACTGGAAAGTCTCAACTCTCGAGAGTAGTTTTGAATCCTGGCAGCTCATTAGTAAAATCTAGTTTAGAAAATTTCTCTTAAAGAGCAAAAATCTAAAAATGGGAAGCAAGACTCATGTGAACCCAGATCTGCTTGGACTGGTTTATTCCTATCCCAAATACCTACATGTGCGTAGCCTCTGATTACGGGGGCTTAAGCTTGTGAGTTCAGTGCCAGCAGACAACTTTCTCATTCTTTAGAAGGCCATTCCAACAAAATGCGGGCTAGCTGCCTCTGGAAACATTTAGGTCCAGTTTTGCTAGGAAACAATCATGTGGGGGCTGTTTCTAGTGCAGGGTGGGGAAGAAGGGGGTTGGGGTGTGGGGTTGGGAAGGAGACTGTCTCCATCGTGTGCTTTGGGAATCTTCCCTCTTGCTGCCAACTGTACAGTGACTCTGGGAAGCAGCTGAAAGAGGAGGAGGAGGCTCTGTTCACACATGAAAAGCTAAGAGTGACTTGAAGCTTATAATTACCCATATTCCCTCAAATTATCCACACCATGATGAACAGATCTCCTCTTCCTGCCCCAATTTTCCCTAAAGCTGTGGACCTCTAATGACTTCAAAACTGATCTAACATAGAAATTTTGTTCTGAGATACCTGGTCCACTCTGTCTCTTTCTGTGATCTGTCTTGGACTGTAAACTCTACTGAAGGGATTGGCTCTACTGCCTTATGTGTTCTATGTGACCATGCAGCTACAGTTGATTGGACCAGAATCAGATCCTGTCTCAATGTTGAACAATCTATTGGCTGGTCAGCAACCAATCAGATTCACCCTCTTGAGAATTTTTTTTTTTTTTTGAGACAGAGTTTCGCTCTTGTTACCCAGGCTGGAGTACAATGGTGCGATCTTGGCTCACTGCAACCTCTGCCTCCGGGGTTCAGGCAATTCTCTTGCCTCAGCCTCCTGAGTAGCTGGGATTACAGGCACGCACCACCATGCCCAGCTAATTTTTTGTATTTTTAGTAGAGACAGGGTTTCACCATGTTGACCAGGATGGTCTCGATCTCTTGACCTCGGGATCCACCTGCCTCAGCCTCCCAAAGTGCTGGGATTACAGACGTGAGCCACCGCGCCTGGCCCGAGAATTTTAAGTATGTACTGCACAGCCAGAATGCAGTCAGAGCTCAAAGGTTACTGAGAGTTGGGAGCTTTACCTACAATTAATGCTGTGAGCAGGCTGAAGTTATTAAGAGGCAGAGATGCCTCTTGAATAAGCTGCAGAGAGACAAATGGCCCAAATGTATAAATAGATGAGACCATAGAGACACCATAGAGGCCCCAGAGAAAGAGAATCAAAGAGAGCTTGGATGGCTATGAAACCAGAGCTCTGTTTATAATAAGATTAGAATTTTCCATAGAATGCTGTAGTCACACAATAGTGCTGTGTTTTCTTGAGGAGGTAGAAGACTTAACCACTCATAATCATGACATTTCATTCATAATAATCCATAATTGGAGGCATGGGAAAGTGAGTAGATACCTCACAGTTTAAAAAGGGAGAGAGAAGAAGAGAGAAAAAGAGGAGTGGAGGGGAGGGGAGAGACAGAGAGAGAGAATACCTCAAGCCCTAACAGTGCAGATTTCCCAGATTCAATTTTCAAGAGGAGACTGGCTGCACTTTATTTCCACAAGCTGCCTCAGACCCTTACAATGACTACCTCCTTTGTTTTGATCTGCACGAGTGCTTTTCTGTCCTTTGCGTTCAGTAAATTCATCCTAAAATGCATTTATCTTCAAGTAATCTGATTTCCTTGTATTATAAAAATGCTCACTCCCAAGTCTCCAAGGGATAGTCCTGGAGTTGGTTATGGTGTCTATCTAAATCTCCACAGTTCCCCGGACAATTGGCCTTGGCAGAATGAAAGACCATTAAGAAGCTGAGCAAGGAGAGGAAGGAGGAAAGCGTCGAATCTGTAACTGCATATAAAATTTCCTGGAGAAAATAAGCCCAGGAGCTGAAAAGGGCATCTAGTTAGAGCTACAAAATGTCTTTCGTTGACCTGGTGTGATCCCTAGAGAGAAAGTGCTGTGTTTCCTCAACTGGTTCCTTTACTTAGTCCGTAAATATTTATTGTATATAGATATGAGCCTGACCCTGGGCTTGGTTCTAAGGAAGCAGATAAATACAACACTAAACCTTCACTGAAAACACTTTAGCATTCTGTTGGTACTGCAACGAAATGGTCTGCCTTCTGTGAGAGTTATTTTATCTCTGTGTAGGTCTCTTCTGTGAGATGAGGATTCTGGAAAGAACAGGGACCCTGGGTTACCATCTCTCCTCCCCTCCGCTGAGACTAATGCCAAGGCTGGCAGTCAAAAAGTGACTGGAGAGTTGGCCGACAGGTTTGAGTTGTGGGTTTGGACTGTGTTGCTCCTCCCTGCCCACAGTCAGCCACCCTGGCCCTCTCCATCACATTGTGGAACTGCGTGCTCCTGGTCACAGTGGGAGGCTAAGGAGCATTGAGGAATGTGGGTGAAACCACTCAAATTCATTTTGGGGGAAGAGCTCAAAGCACATGCCCACAGGATATGGGTGAGTGGTGTCTGTAGGGAGGCGCCCTGAAACCTATAGATAAAGCTGCTTACCTAGGAATAGAGCAAGTAGCAAAACCAGTTGTCCCTAAGTTCTCTGGATGCCCTGAGTTTTGAGGGAGTCATCCAAACTTCAGAGTCTACATGGGTGGGAGAGAGGACTCAAGACACTCCCAGAACCAACCTGGGAACATAGGGAGCTTCCTTAAGACTAAAATGTTATTAAGAAGTTAATGTGGAAGTCGTAGCCAGAGCAATCAGGCAACACAAAGAAATAAAAAGCATCCAAATTGGAAAAAAGGAAGTTAAATTATTTTTGTTCACTGATGATATGATCTTATATCTAGAAAGCCCTAAAGACTCCTTCGAAAAATTCTTAGATTTGATAAATAAATTCAGTAAAATTTCAAGATACAAAATCAACATACAAAAACCAGTACCATTTCTATATGCCAATAAAAATCAAGCTGAGAAGCAAATCAAGAACACAATCCCATTTCCAATAGCTACCAAAAAGAAATTACCTAGGAATATATTTAACCAAGGAGGCAATACTATTCATCCACAAAAAATAATGAGTTCTCAACAAGGAAAACTACAGAACACTGATGAAAGGAACTGTAGATGATATAAACAAATAGAAAAACATCTCATGCTCATAGATGGAAAGAATTAATATTGTTAAAATGACCATACCTCCCAAAGCAATCTATATAGATTTAAAGCAATCCATATAGATTTAAAGCAATCCTTATCGAACTGTCATTGTCATTTTTCACAAAATTAGAAAAACAAATCCTAAAATTCATATGGGACCTAAAAAGAGCCCAAATAGCCAAAGCAATCCTAAGCAAAAATAGCAAAGCTGGAGCCATCATATTACCTGACCTCAAATTATACTTCTGGGTTATAGCAACCAAAACAGCATGGCATAGGCATAAAAAATAGACACATAGATCAATGAAACGGAATTTTAAAACTCAGAAATAAAGCCACATATCTACAGCCAACTGATCTTTGAAAATGTCAACAAAATATACATTGAGGTAAGGATACCCTTTTCAATAAATAGTGCTGGGAAAATTGGATTGCTATAAGCAGAAAAATAAAACTGGACACCTGTCCCTCACCATATACAGAAATCAACTCAAGATGGATAAATACTTAAATGGAAATCCTGAAACTACAAATATACTAGAAGAAAACCTAGGGAAAACTCTTCTGGACATTGGTCTAGGCAAATAATTCATGACTAAGGCCTCAAAAGTACAGCAACAAAAAAAAATAGACAAATAGAACTTAACTAAAAAGTTTTTGTGTAGCAAAAGAAATAATCAACACAGTGAATAGACAACACAGTGAACAGACAACACAGTGAACAACATGCAGAGTGGAAGTAAATATTTGCAAACTCTGCATCTAACATGAAACCAATGTCCAGGATTGACAAGGAACTCAAACAACTCAATGACAAAAACAACAACAACAAAAAAACCCATTAAAAAGTGGGCAAAGGACATGAATAGACATTTTCAAAAGAAGACATATAAATGGCCAAAAAGCTTATAAAAACAATGGCCAACATCACTAATCATCAGGTTTTAATGCAAATTAAAACTACAATGAAATATCATCTTTTACTAATAGTTATTATTAAAAAGTCAAAAAATAGATGTTGGTGAGGATGCAGAGAACAAGGAATGCTTATACACTATTTGTGAGAATGCGAATCAGTACAACCTCTATGGAAAACAGTATGGATGTTTCTCATAGAACTAAAAATAGAACTACCATTTGATCCAGCAATTCTACTACTGATTACCTACCCAAAGCAGAAGAAATCATTACATCAAAAAGATACTTGCACTTGTATGCTTATCATAGCACTATTCACAATAGCAAAAACAGGAAATTAACCTAAGTGTCCATCAGTGGAGGACTGGACAAAGAAAATATGGTATGTATATACCACGGAATACTATTCAGCCACTTAAAAAAAGAATGAACTCATGTATTTTTCAGCAAAATGGATGCTACTAGAGACCATTATCTTAAGT